ATGGCTTCTTTTTTTTTTGGTCAGCCAAGGGCCACAAAGGTCAAAGAGCCACTCATGGAAAGGTACCCCAAGGTCAGCAAATGGAACGGGCAGTCATCTTAGCCTCAAAGGACTCTTTCAATTAAAACATTGAGGTCTTTGTTAAATCTATGTTAAACATCACATAGCAAATAAACCATTCAAATTAGTTAAACGAAATGATAATAATAAAAATGGTACAAGAAACTGTGTTTATTAATGTATCAATTAAAAGAGTTTAATACAACAAACAAATTAATAAATATTCAGATCAACAATTACATTTATAGTTACAGAACACTAGTCACAACTTTGTATCACTTTCCTTTTAAATTACTTTTATAGAAGAGTAAAACAATGTTTTATTTAAAATAAGCCATGGATACAAATGCACAAGTGCTTACTTCGTCCAGAACCGTAACTGCTGTCCCGGCGTGGGCCGCGGGCGTGCTCCACGATCACCCTCTCCCCACACAGATCCTTCCCGTTCAGCTCGTAAACGGCATCGTCGGCGTCTCGCAGATCATCAAACTCCACAAAGCCATACCTAGGGACAGGGAGACAGAAGGGATCACTGGCAAGGAACTGAACCTGAGCTATCTGTGCTCAAAAGCAGCTCGTGGGTTCCTGCAGAGCCCTGTGTGTGCTGTCCTGCAGATGAGCCTCCTGAGCATACCTGAGGGTTCAAGGCCTTGAGCCTTGAAAAAAAACTAAAAACAAATTAAAACCCCTCCAAAAACAGGGAGAGAAATAGGAAGACATGAAAACACACCTTCTGATTTGCTGAATTGAACCTGAAGTAATTCTTCATCAACAAAACGATAAATCACGTGAGAGTGTAATGGCTGAATTCATTTATGTTAGCAAGAGATTACTATTATGGCATAATATTTGATGAAATAAAGGGTGTTATCGATCTTTTTAAAGGTAGAAATTAAAACCCCCAACTTGTCTTGGCCAAGCCCTGGTGGAGCAGGATCCAGCCCCTGGAGCTGCAGTGAGGGCTCAGCTGCTGGAACAACAGGTGAGAACAGAGGTACAGTGGGTTTGGGGTGTTTGGGGAGGGCAGAACACACCCCAGGACAGCCTGGGGGCTCTGGGAGAAGCTCTGCACCCCATACCCAAAAACAATGGGGTTCTTTTTGGGGAGGAGTTATCCATGCTCACCCCTGAGTGCTCGCCCTGGGGGCAGCCCCTCAGTGTGACCCCTCCTCCCTGCAGAAAGCAGGGCAAGGACACAGATCAGCTGGCCCCTAAAAACTGAGGTGGGACCCAGCCGTCCTAACCCCCAGTTGTCAAAGAAAGCCAGGTGTCCTGCATCCACTCCAGAAAAAGGGGAACCAAACCCTCCAGCCAGCCCCACGCAAAACCGCATCTCCCCCAACAGAGCCCCAGCCATCCTGCCTCCCCCAAAAAAGGCCCAGACATCGTGTCCCGCCTTGACAAGAAGGGAAACCCAAGCATCCTTCTCCCCACCCCGAAAAGGAACTCGAGCATCCTGCTTCCCCCAGGAGGGGATCCCGGGCAGCCTGTCCCCCGCCCCAGAAAAGGGGGAACTAACTCATCCTGTCCCCCCTCTAGCAGGGGCCCAGACGTCCTGCCCCCTCCCCTACAAAAAGAGAGGAGAAACCCAGATGTTCTGTCCCCCCCGAGAAAGGAACCGAAGCAGCCTGTCCTTTCCCAACAAAAGCCCAGCCGTGCTCTCCCCCGCAGAAAGGGGGGACCCGGCCGCCCTGTCCCTCCCGCAATGGAAGTTCAAGCACGCCCACTCTCCAAAAGAGAGACCCCAACACTCCGCCCCAGGAGAGGCCCAGGCTTCGCGTCCCCCCAGCGTGGGGGAGCCCGATCTCCCCGCCCCTCTCACCCCCACCCAAAGGAGGGGACCCAGCCGTCCTGCCCCGACCCAGAGCGCCCCGGCGGCCTCTTCCCCACCGGCCCCTCCAAGGCCTTCAGGCGCCCGGGCCCTCCCCTCGCGGTGGCCGGGCCGGGCCCGAGCTCACCCGTTCTTGAGATCCACCTCGAGGATCTTGCCGTAGCCCTTGAAGAAGCGCTCCACGTCGCGCTCCCGGGCCTGGTAGCTGAGGCGGCCGATGTAGACCCGCGGCATCGCGGGGCCGGGGCTGGGCCCGGGGGGCGTCAGGGGCCCGGGGGCCGCGCGGCCGCCTGACGTCACGGCGGCGCGCGGGTAGCGACGCGAGGTAACGTCACAGCGAGCCACGCCCCCCCGCGCGAGCTCGCTCTTAAAGGGGCCACGCCACCGCGTGGGCCCCACCGGCGCCGTCGGGTCCCGTTCCCCACGGGGAGCGTGGATCGATCCCTCGTTCCCAGGTGGGGAGCCCTGATCCCCCTTCCCACGCGGCTGATGTGTGGGGCAGTGTGGGATCCCCTTCCCATGGCTCCGGGGGCAGTGTGGGATCCCCTTCCCATGGCTCAGGGCACTGTGGGATCCCCTTCCCATGGCTCAGGCAGTGTGGGATCCCCTTCCCATGGCTCCGGGGGCAGTGTGGGATCCCTGTTCCCATGGCTCAGGCAGTGTGGGATCCCTGTTCCCATGGCTCAGGGCACTGTGGGATCCCTGTTCCCATGGCTCAGGGCACTGTGGGATCCCTGTTCCCATGGCTCAGGCAGTGTGGGATCCCTGTTCCCATGGCTCAGGGCACTGTGGGATCCCTGTTCCCATGGCTCAGGCAGTGTGGGATCCCTGTTCCCATGGCTCAGGGCAGTGTGGGATCCCCTTCCCATGGCTCTGGGGCTGGTGGGGTCCCCTGTCCCCATCCTGCGGGTGTTTGGGGCTCTGCCTTCCCTGGGGGTCCCGTTCCCCGTGGAGAGCATGGATCAATATCCCACGTGCAGGGCACTTAGGAGGGTGCCGAGGTGCTCGTGGGCTCCTCTCTTTGGCAGGGTTCTGTGGAGAGCCCCATTCCAAAAACGCTGGATGCTGATGGGACCCCAAAGGCAGGCAGGGATGGGGGTCCCCCATCCCCACCCTCGGAGTCTCCCCATGGCATTTCCCAGCTGTGGCCAGACTCAGCTGTTCTCTTTCCCCTGGTGAGCAACAACATCCCTCTTGCTGAACTCTAAACATCAGTTTTGGGGAATTATTTTTATCCTTTTGGTTGAGATGTCAGTTGCCTAAATCACACCAGATCCCAGCAGAGGATTGGAACATTCCAGCATTAGCAGCCACCCCCCTAAAAAACCCCACAATCGCCTCCAAAACAATGACAATTGTGTAGGTGCAACAGCAGCAGCTGGATTTCCATCCATGATCCTGCTCATTTGACAAAGAGAATTACATTTATTTATTTATTCCTTTGTACCCTGGTGTAGGAGTGAGAGGTTGGAACATTTTGTGAGAGTTCTCTAAAGGATGTCGAGTTTTATTGCTGAGCCAAATAACCCATGGGGGGGATAAAAGCTTTGCACTAATTTTTCTGGTTTATGTCATACTTAATAGTGCTTGCAATGATCTCCAAGTTCTTTTTTTGCTTTTCTTCCCCACTTTACCCATCGATCAGGAAACACTGAGGCACAGGATGGGGATCTGCCTCCAATGCTGGCAGGGGGAAGGAAAATACAAAATATTGGGGGATTTATTCGGGATGGAGAAGCAAAAGGGAGATGCTGGTGCAGAGTCTATCCTGGGGTACACCTGCTCTCTGCTGAGGGAGGTCTCAGTGTGAGGGGTTTTAGGGGGGATGAAATGACATTTAGTTCCCAGCATGGCAGTGGAGTTTAATTTCACAGTTTTGCTCTTCCAAGCGCAGATGCAGTTGTACAATGCTCCCTCCATCCCTGAGTGACATTCCTGCCCTGCCCTGCTCTTCTCCTCACCCCACAGGACCCAGAAAATGCCCAGATGCAGGTACACCTTCCTGGGCTGTCCCCCACATGTGTGCACTCCCTGTGCACGGGGATGACACTGGCAGCTCCCGGTGAGAAGCAGCCTTCCCTGGCCTTTGGTAGATCCAGATCCTGCCATAGCCCCACCAACTCATCCAGGACTCCAGGATGAATCCCAGAAGAGCTTTCAGCGGACACAACCAGTCCCTCACAATTCCTCTGTCCACACAAAACTCCACAGCCATAGTCCTCCCACTTGGATCATGTTGGGCACAAGGTGGGAGAACCCAATGAGGTCCCTGGGTTGGGTTCCAAAGGTTCTGAGGCAAAGAAAGTTCAAAGAACCCAAGGGAGGTTATTTCCATTGCAAGATGTGTTTGGGGGACATTTCCCCTGCAGTTCATCCTATGGAGCAGCATGGAGAGCCTGCTGGGATCTGAGAGCATCACCCAGGAGCAGGGACCACTGGCCCACCTGCACAGGCAGCGCCGCCGGGCCTCGGCCACTGCTGCGCTGGGGAGAGCAGGGACCGCAGGGAGCCTGTGGGGTCACAGAGGTACAAGAGCAGCACAGGAGGAAGCAAGAACACGTTGTTGGTTGTTCTCAATAAATCTTTCCACATTGCTCTGCAGTGTCACAGTCACTGTCCCACACCTGGGCAGGAGGGCCTCAGGGACACTGAGGGTCCGGCTCCAGCCCTGGATGGCCAAAGGCTCTGGCCCTTGAAGTGCCCTTGGCAAAACCCAGCCAGGGTGACCCAGGGCTCCTCCAGGACCTGCAGCAGCACCTAGGGCCGCTCCAGTCATAGCACCCCTCACCATTTGGGGCATTTGTGCCCCCTCCTCCTACTTGGAGCAGGTGTGGAGGCAGCGGGGCTGCAGGGAGATGACTTGGGCTTCCCTGCCCATCCCGCATTCTAACTGGATAACTACAGCCCTGCCCAGCCCAAAAGCACATGTGAGGGGGAACTGCTGCTCTTTCCACATCCTGAGCTAAGCAAGCCATCATTTGGGCTCCCAAACTCCCCCCAGCCACAGTAAGATGCAGCCTCCCTCCAGCAGCACTTCCACACAAAGCTGCAGAGGCTTTTAAAGCTCTCAGTGGGCACCCAAAATGTGAAAAACAAAGCAAAAATTAAATTCAATTCATCTCGAGGGTCTTTTTCCCCCTCAAGTCTGTGGACAAGCATGTGGAACAGGACAGGGCTCCAGGAGCTGCAGGTCAGAGGAGGAGGATCTGCTTGGAGGACACAAAGGGCTTCATGGAGGCCTCCAGCGCTGCCCTGTAGTCCTGAAGTGGGACCTCGGTGCAGGCTGGCGCTGTGAGCTGGCCCCTGCGGATGAGCTGGCACAGGGCGTCCATCATCGCAGCCACGCTCTCCTGGTCTGCAAAGGCAGGAGGGAGCTCTCACTGTGCCGTGCAGGGCCACCCACCACCCCTGGGACACCGCCCGAGGCAGGAGGGAGCTCTCACTGTGCCGTGCAGGGCCACCCACCACCCCTGGGACACTGCCCGAGCCCACACGGGATCCCTGGGTGTGATGTGCCCCCAGCTCAGGTACGTGGGATGAGGGAAGAGCCCCCGGCACGGTCCCTGCCTGAGCCCAGCACCAGTGTCTCAGCACCCTGGGACAAGCAGAGATGGCTGTGGGAGCAAGGATGTGCTGGGTGGGGTTTGGCCCTGCTCCCACTCAGGACAGGGCACAGGGACCAGACCCTCAGCCCTGCCAGCCCAGCTCCCTCAGCCCCCCCTGGCTCAGCTCCCCCAGCCCCTCTGGCTCATTTCCCTCAGCCCCCCAGCTCAGCTCCCCCAGCCCCCCTGGCTCAGCTCCCCCAGCCCCTCTGGCTCATTTCCCTCAGCCCCCCAGCTCAGCTCCCCCAGCCCCCCTGGCTCAGCTCCCCCAGCCCCTCTGGCTCATTTCCCTCAGCCCCCCAGCTCAGCTCCCCCAGCCCCCCTGGCTCAGCTCCCCCAGCCCCTCTGGCTCATTTCCCTCAGCCCCCCAGCTCAGCTCCCCCAGCCCCCCTGGCTCACCCTGCGCGTGGTCCTTCCGCCACTGTGTCATCCAGAACCCGCGGAGCCGCACGTCCCGGAAGATGAAGGCGCTCTGTGGAATGTGTGACACCTGTGTGTCCTCCTGGCACCCAGGGACACTCCTGTGTCCCCTTGTGCATGCAGTGACTCCCCTGTCCCCTCACACACGTGTCCCCTCCCAGTGTGACAGTGGTGGCCCCTTGTTAGAGCTCCCGTTTGTGAGCCAGGGATGCGGAGAGGCGACTCCAAGGTGTGGAGTCAGGGCAGGTTTGATGCTCAGCACCTGCAGGGTCATTTCCCCACTGGAATTTTTTGGCAGCCCAAACCCTCCAAAAAGCCAAGAGCCCAGCAGTGGGAAGCAGCTTGTTCTGTGACAGACTCCATCAGGCAAATAAAAACAGCTGGAGGGTCTCAGTCTGCAGAGGGGGAGAGCCAGGTGCCCACAGCACCGAGGGGATGGGGACATGCAGTGGGGGCACAGGGGACTAAGGAGAGGCATCCCAAGTACTCACCACAGGGACCATCACAGGCTGCTTTGCCATCCCCCCATAGGTGACCATGGTCCCCTTGGGCCTGCAGTAGGGAAGGGGTATTTGGTTAGGTGGCCCCAAAAGTGCAGCTCTGATTTGCCATCTCCTCCTCTGCCATCCCCAACCCCCCCGGGGCTGCCTTTGCACTCAGGGCTCCCCAGCTGCCCTTCAGATCCCACTTTCCAAGCTCTCCTCCTGCTTCTGTGCACCATTAGCTGAATTTGCAGCTCAGGACCCAGGGGACCTTCACAACTCGACCCCAGCTGCCCCCAGCCACCAGCAGTGTGAGACTTTAAATTACTGTTGTTATCCAAACCATTTTCCATTCCCTCTCCAAAGTTCAACAGACTCCAGAGCAGAACCCTCTATTGCCAGTTTCTGTCCCCAGGTTTGTGCCCAAGCCACCACCCAGCCAAACTCACTGCAGGTGCCGCAGCATCTCCGTGGTGCTTTTGCCTCCGACGCAGTTGAGGGCGAGCCGGGGCCTCGGGATGCTCTGCAAAGGTTTATGGCAAAGGTTCCCAAATTTTATGTCTCCTTTAGGGGATGGAACTGTGGTTCTTGACAAAGCATCTGCATTAACCTCAACGTTTACCTGAGGGCTACTGAAAGCAGCAGAGCTAAAATCCGTTAGAATCAAGGAATAACTGGGGATGGAAGGGACTCATTCCAACCCCCTGCCATATGCAGGAAGACACCTTCAGCTAGACCGGGCTGCTTCAAGCCCAATCTGATTGGAACCAAAATCTGTGATTCCTCCCTTGTGTCAGCAGCAAAATCCCTCCACTCCTGGTGTTAAATTCTGATCTAGAGAGAAATTTGTCCTTCCCACCATCCCTGCATTTCTCCCCAGTGCTGAGCAGCAGTGACAGCCCTGGACTCTCCAGTGGGATCAGCATTGAGGTAAATATATCTTAAATATATACCTTAAATATATCTTTCATCTCTGGCTTCCTCAGCATCTCCTCCGTGATGATGTGATCAGCGCCCAGGGCCATCAGCCTCTCCAGCAGCTTTGGGAGATCAGGTCTGGGGAGGGAAAAAGGAGATAAAAAAAGAGGACTAGATGAGCCAGGAAGCAGAGTTCCACCTTCTCCTTCCTTCTGCTCTGGCACTGTGTGGGGACAACGAGGAAAAGGCTGGAGGACAACCTGGAGGAGCAAACAGGAGAAAATCCTGGGCAGGATGGGCAGGATGAGCCGATCCAGCTCCCAAAATTTCTTCTCCCCAGGGCACCCACCTGTCCCTCACCACGTTGATGGTCTTGATGCCGGACGCCCTGGCGATCTGGATGACGGCCTGGCCCACGCCGCTGTTGGCAGCATTCTGGATGATGGAGTCACCTGGAGGTGAATAAATGCAGATTCCCACTCAGAGACAGGCAGGAAATCCCTGTGGAATTGCTCCTCATGGCAGGGCCATACCGGGCGCCAGGCTCTCGAAGTCGGCCAGCAGACGGAACGCCGTGCAGGGGTTGACGCTCAGAGTGGCAGCACAGAGCACCGGGATGTCACTGGGCACCTTCAGCAGCATCTCCTCGGGGAACACCCCCCGTGTCCTCCACGTCCCTGGGCACGGCAGCGCCACAGGAACAGCCACAGCACGGGGGGAAAGCAAAGGAAAGCCATCAGCTCCCACTGCAGCCGTGGCACCAGCAGCTTCACACGCCAGGAACCAGCTACAGCCCCGAGAGGGAACGACGGATTGCGTTCCCATATGGGTACAGCCAAAATGCTCCAAGAGGCAAGGAATGGATTCCTCACTGCCTGCCAAGATTTATCACCTAGCAGCAAAGCCTAATCATTTCCCAGAGGGATAACGGGGCTGGGGCTCCCTGGGAATGTGTGCAGAGATAACGGAAATACTCTCCATCCTATGGATGAGCCCATATATTCCAAGCCAATTTAGTCAGCTTTACTCCCTCTACGCTCATATCCAATTTAAACCTCTATCATCTATTTACAGCATTTTTATGCTTAAAAATACCCCATTTGGCTCTTAACTCCATCATTTTCCTTCTCTCATTTAGCAAAAAGCCTGTTAAGAAGAAATAGGCAAAGAACAAACTGTGACACTAAACCACAACCAGCAAATACCAGGCCACTGGCATTTTGGAGGAGCATGGGAGACATTTGTTGGGAAATAAATTCCCACACTTTCCCAGCAGACCATTATTAAAGAGAAAACTACAGTGAGAGGCCACCACAACCTTGCTCGTGTGAAATGTTTTATCCCAGGTCTTTAGGGAAGCTCTAAGCTGACGGCACAAAACACAGCTGTTTCCAGAGAAACACAGATTTCTGCAATGCTTTATAGTGGCACAGACATCCCTTAAAGGGTCTATGCTCCAGGAAAGAAGATCATTGCTAAATTTAAGTTTGGCATGAGCAATGGTGTTGCCACTGCTCCTGATCAAGGTGTTCTAGGGTGTGTGGTAAGTCCTGTGCACAGGAGCCCCTTCCCTGGGGACCCCCATCCTTCCCAAGAGCCTTCTTGTGTCTGTGGATGAGCAGCTTCACTTGCTGGGGCTGGGGAGTAGGAACTGAGTTTTCTTTAAAAAAAATTAAATTGATGAAAAATAAAAACAGGTGGTGAAAATAAACCAAGACATAAACAGCTAAGAAATAACTCCACTAATTATCCCAACTGTCTCATTGTGATTGGTCTCACATGGCACTAAATGGGTTCCAACTCCTGCTTCCCTTGCCCAGCATTCCCTAATGGAGCTTTTTTCCCCAATTTGCTCCCCGTTTTGGGACCCATCCCATCACGTGTAATTGCTGTAAGTGGAGGGGCCCATGGCTCTATCCACACCCTGCAAAGATGGAGAGCTGTGCTTTTGCTCTCCAACCCCCAAAATCCCCATAGCAGCTCACACAGGAGCACAACCATGGGATTGCTCTCTGGGCAAGCCTGGGCACCCCCCAAGGGGCTCCAGCACCCCAAAAATCCCCTGGGAAGATGCTTTGCAGGTGTGGGGTGTGCCAAAGATGAGCTCACCGAGTCCGGTGTCCGCAGGGATGACCCAGTCCCCCGGTTTCAGAGCCGTCACACGGCGCCCGACCTCCAGCACCTCCCCGACACCTTCGTTCCCTCCCACGGCCGGCAGCGACGACAGGAGGGGATAGGTCCCTGCAGGGAAGCTGGAGGTAAGCCAGAGACCCCTTCATACCCAACATCCCTGCACCAGGAGCCATCTCTGAACCCTCTGAGACAGCAGCTGGCTTTGATGATCCTCGTGGGTCCCTTCCGACTCGGAGCATCCTGCAAGAAATAACGTGCAAAGCATTAATTTAACACCTTGCCTTGGATCATGTTGATGTCAGCGGGATTGATGGGGGCTGCCAACATCTTGACGTTGACATCGCCGTCCCCCAGCTTGGGCTCTTCCAGATCCTTCAGTCTGAACAGGGAGACACAAAGGAAAAGGGCATTAACATCTGTTTGGTGACGTGTTCTGTGCTGTGGCTGAAGCTGGAGGTATCACCTACATACCCCACCTAAATTAACAGCACCATATGCACCATCCCATTAAAAAATCAGATTTAGGTTAGACAGAAGGACAGATTTTTGGAGGAGGCTGCTAAAAGCCATCCACTCAAAACAATCCCGTGTCACTAAGCCCAGTGATTCTCACTAAACTTAACAAACTCAGCAGGTTGCACAAAAAAGCTGCGGTTTTGGCTGGGGATTTTATGACTCATCCTGCCCTGCTTGAGCATTATGGGAACCTGGGATAGTTCTGGAAATCTGTGAAAAAGGAGAAGTCACGAAGCACAAAGCAAGACCAGTCTTGCACAAGCAGTGGGGTGATAACAGCAAATCTCAGGCAGTGGTGACAAGCACCATTGCACAACTAAATGATCATTCGGAGAAGCAAAAGTCTTTCTCCAAAAAACCAGTGGGTTGGTGTCTGGATGCACCTTGATAATGTATCAGCATGTACTGAGCTGGTTCAAGAGGGGCAGCAAGACCTCAAAGTCTCCTCCCTTGAAAAAAAACCCTGAAGTCCACTAAACTACAATTTTCTCTTTTCCAGAATTTTTGCTGTCCCAAAAAATGCTTGTGATGCTGCTTTGGTCCCTAACTTGGGATCTCAAAGAGAAGACCCATCAAAGGGATGCAACCCAGGATGAAGTTGGGGTGCAGCGATGCTGGGGTTCAGACCTCCCTGTCGTACCCCAAGTTAGCAAGAATGGGCTTTTTGATAAAATTGTGGGGTTTAAGGCAAATTGAAGGAGCAGCAGCAGGAGGGTGGGGGATATGGAGGCATCAACCCCAGCATCTGCCTGTGAGACAATGGCACCAGGAGAACATTGGGGCATCCCAGGGTCCTCCTGTCCCCCTGCAAGTTCGGGGAGCTGCAGCCCATCCCCACTCTCTACACCTGGGGCGAGCAAGTCCTGACCCCCCTGCACTGCACCCCCGAACCAGCCTGCAGCACCCCAAAACCTCACCCCCAGCCCTCTCCGCAGCCCTGTGCCAGCCCCCACTCCAGATCCCTGCCCCACCGTGCCCCCCCAGCCTTGGCCCTCCACCTGCGCCCCCTCCCTGCAATGCCCCCCCGATTCAGCCGCACCCCATTCCTGCAGCCCCGGCAATGCACCCCCGTGTCCCCCCTTACTGCACGACGGCTGCGGGCTCCCCGTGCCGCTCATACAGCAGCCCGAGCGGAGGGGACCCCGCCGCGGCGGATCGCAGCCGCACCGGGGGGCTCGGACCCGGGGGGATCCGCGCTTGGGGGGTCCACACTTGAGGTGTTCCCACTTGGGGGGTGCGCGCTTGGGGGGTGCGCGCCCCGCGGAGCGCCCGCGCTGCCGCCCGCTGCATTCGGCCCCGCTCGGCTCCGCCCGGCACTTCCCGGCTCAACTCGGCAC